CCACTCGTGTCTATCCCAGCTCTTCTGATCGCACCTTCTAACGCCATGTTGAATAGCAGACACGAAAGTCCACCACTTTGCCGTAACCCCCTTCGAAATTCAATGGGACTCGAGAATGTCCCCGATACTCGAACAACGCACATCACTCGATCCATCGTTGCCTTAACCAATCGCGTCAGTTTATCCGGAAATTTGTACTCGTGCATAATCTGCCATAGCTGATCTCGATCGATTGTGTCGAATGCGGATTTGAAATCGATGAACAAATGATGTGTGGGCACGCTGTATTCGCGGCATTTCTGCAGAACCTGCCGAATCGCGAAAATTTGGTCCGTGGTAGCACGGGCACCCATGAATCCCGCCTGGTATTGCCCCACGAACCCTCTTGCAAATGGTGACAGACGGCGGCATAGAATTTGGGAGAGTACCTTGTAGGCGGCGCTCAGCAGTGTGATCGCGCGGTAGTTGCAGCAATCCAACTTGTCGCCCTTTTTGTAGATTGGGCATACGACACCTTCCATCCACTCCTCCGGTAATATCTCCTCCTCCCAAATCTTGGCAATTACCCAGTGCAACGCTCTAGCCAGTGCTTCACCACCGTATTTTAATACCTCACTTGGCAGTTGATCTACACCAGTTGCTTTGTTGTTCTTCAGCCGACCGATCTCCTCCTCAACTTCTTGAAGATCAGGGGCCGGTAGCCTGTCGTCTTCTGCGCGTGCTCCAAGGTCTGTTGCCGTGCCACCTTCGTTTTCTGCTGCTTCACCGTTGAGGTGCTCGTCATAGTACTGCTTCCACCTCTCAATCACCTCACACTCGTTTGTGAGAAGGTTACCGTCCAAGTCCTTGCACATATCGGCTTGGGACACGGAGCCTTTGCGCGAACTATTTAGCTTCTCGTGGAACTTCCGTGTGTCGTTTACGCGGTACAGATTTTCCATCGCCTCGCGATCTCGGTCTTCCTGCTGACGCTTCTTCCTTCGGAAAACCGAGTTTTGTCTGTTCCGCGTTTGTCTGTATCGCTGCACATTCAATCTCGTGCGGTGATGTAGCATTCTCGCCCGTTCTGCATTCTTCCCCTCTACTAACAGTTTGTATTCGCCGTCAAACCAGTCATTTCTTCGGTCCGGGATTGCAGTACCTAGTGCCGCTGCAGCAGTACTACCTATGGTGGAACGAATGTCCCTCCAGCCATCTTCAAGAGAAGCTGCTCCAAGCTGTTCTTCCGTGCTGCTGCGCGTAGTCCTGGGCAACTCCGGTGTCCCGTAGTTGCTCAATGTTGGGTCGCGGTGTTCGACTTCGACGGTTGTTATGCACCGTCGAGAGTTTTGAGCGCATGCATACTGCAACAAGGTAGTGGTCCGAATCTATTTTCGCATTGCGGTACGTGCGGACGTTGATAATGTCGGAGAAGAATTTCCCGTCGATTAGAACGTGATTGATTTGGTTTTCTGTGTGTTGGTCAGGTGATGTCCAGATGGATTTGTGGATATCCTTGCGGGGGAAAAGGTACTTCGAACTACCATACCCTGGGAGGCTGCAAAGTTCACGCATCGTTGGCCGTTGTCGTTCGATACGGCATGCAGGCTGCATTGCCTCCCGTCCTACCTGAGCGTTCATGTCGCCGATGACGATTTTGATCTCCCGTTGCGAACAGCCGTCGTACACCTGCTCCAGCTGCGCATAGAACGCTTCTTTCTCGTCGTCGGGTCTCCCTTCGTGTGGGCAGTGCACGTTGATGATACTGTAGTTGAAAAAACGGCCTTTAATCCTCAACTTGCACATCCTCGCGTTGATCGGCTGCCAACCAATCACGCGTTGGCGCATCTTACCCAACACTACAAAGCCGGTTCCCAGCTCGGTGGTGGTGCCATAGCTCTGGTAGAAAGTAGCCGAAGTTGCGTGGTTGAAGTTCGTCATAGATTAACCTATCGCACCCCGGGAAGCCGAGCGATTTGCAGTTCCATGTTCCGAGTTTCCAATCGTAGTCCTTATTTCGTCATGTAGGTCTGTGTCGATTGTTCCGATCCGTATTTGCAACTTTATGTTTTTTCCAGGGCGGGCCTGCCCCAACCCCCTGTCTCGCCGGGGGTGCACAGCTCTGTTAAGAGTCCCACGCTGGCACTAGGACGGTTATCGGCCGCTCCTACCGTGGAGAACAGACGCCGTTTTGAGCCGCACCTCCATGGTGAATAGACGCTCGGGTTTGGTGAAGCATTTCCTCTATCACCGTACTATGGTTACCGCGCCAGTGTTCGCGTCGCACCTCTTCACTTTGCTATTGCCGGACTGGCAACATTGCCCAGGCTACGCCACTCAGCTGTGTCCATGTTTCAGCTGGTAGTCTTTTGTTATCATATGACTCGGGGAGGACCAGGGCTAGGTATTCCGCTCCTTCCAGGTTGTCAACTGACGATTTTGTAGCCTAATGTGTAATTCAGTAACACCTAAATTAATAAAATTATAAGCTTGGCTTTTACCATTTCTAACACCAGGTGGTGGGTCGAAGCTCTCCCAAAATCGGTATTCAACAACCTACCATTTCAAGGATGAATTTTCAAAAGGACGTACCTAGTTTTGCTAAATTTATATAAAACTAACAGAACCATCATGTTGGTGAATTTTGGTTGGTGGTGGTGTTAGTTTGTTAGTTGATAAAACTCATGCTTGATTTAAATCCCGTAGACTTATCGGGGAATTTCACTGCCTTTTTAAGTGTGGTGAACTCATTCCTAAATTATTTCCGGATTTACCCCAAAAAATTATTGGAATATCTTAAAATATTATTGAATCTACCCGCTTAATTTGTATGTCCATTATATCGGTCGTCCAAAAACGGAACACTTAACAGCCAACCAATGCGGAACGAACCCAATGCGGCACTCTGCGGTATGTGACGTCCATAATTGTCTGCACATTTAAACATTTCGCAAGGCAGAGATTGTACTCCTACGAAAACATCATACTTCCACCCTTCGAAAGCGAAAGCGAAAGTGATCGAATTACAATTTCTACATTTCCATTCACTCACATGTTACCAACTGCTTGCTCTTGAAGCGATCAATTTCATTAGAGAGATTATTTTCATGTCCGCATCTGAAGCAATTAATCAATCAAAAGCAGTATGATCTGCGCCAACAAGGCATTCAACAGTCGGGGAGGGAACTTTCAATTAATTGCTTTCGACAGCCTCCCGCTCACCTTTCCTACGCACCCCCATCGGTCAGACAATTGATCCCAAAGTGCATTACAGCATTAAATCGAACGCAGATCGCGTCGGGTATCGGCTTTCGGCCTGTACACTCCTCCGTGGGAATCATAATGGCACATAAGGTTGATCGTTTTTCCAATCAATGACCGTTTTGAACGCATTATGAAACATCATCATCAATTATTCGAAAACATCATCATCGCTTAAATATGCGAACAAATGTGAAGTTGGTAGATTAACTTGATGAGGAAACTTCAATTGCAGAGGGAAAATTACACACGGTGGATGAACTGATTTTGCCAACAAGTAGAAAGCAAAATTTGCATGCGCACCAACTAGCAACAAGTCGATTTGAAGAGTGAGTCGAAATTTAAAACTGAAATTAAACCTCTCCTCTAACAATGAGCGCCATAATTAGTTGATTTCAATTGCCAACTAGCTCTAGAGCCACTTGTTTGGAAAGAGATGCTTTGGTGTCAATTGCCGTAGCTGCTGAATCCATTAAAGTAACTAAATGGCTTCCACCCGAACAATTAAAAATGTTAATTTTCGGATGAATAACTTTGCTATTGAATGGAAATAAAACCGAGGCCACCGCCACCACCGCCGGGTGGTGTTGTTTTTCACGGAAATCAGACGTGATAAATTATAACGGCAACTGAGCACTAATCGTACTTGTAACTGTCCGAAATGCGTTTCATGTTTGTCTGACACTATCGCCCGAGAAAACGGAGCATAATTGGTGATGATTGCTATCAGGTGCTTATTATTTAATTCTGCCACTTTCTGTAATGAGACAAGATAGAAATGAGCTGATAAAAGATGCGGAGCTTTTTGTGAATGAAGCGTGGCGAAGATTTATGGAGATTTAAATCAAAACGCATAACAACATTACGTTTGAACATAATTAAGAAACCCATAACAGTCGGAGGGTGGCCGTAACAGCACCCTCCAACTGTGCACCAATCAGCGATTGCAACGTTGTGCAGATGAGATTAACTTGAAAAACAACCGCTGAATAGATATAGACTACCGACCAGTGTGGTAGTAAGGCAGTTGCATGCGGAGTTGAAAACAACAATCAAAAAAATTGCTGTAGCGTAACAGAAACAATGAATGACAGATCGAAGCTATTATAAAGATAATTGATTTCGGTTCATATTCTTATGTGGCAAAACAATGTTCAAAACGAGTTTTAAATTCCCAATTGGCTGCATTTTTGCAACGGTTGACAAATTTTGCAATGACCTAAAATCAAAACGTAATAGGTTTTAAAATTCTCCTAACAAAAATAAATTAATGTTGGCGTCGTGTTTTCACCTCCTCGCTTCGTTACTGAATGTACCACTTGCATCACTGATGCAGCACAACCCAACTCACACAGCGAGTTGGATCTGCAAAACGAGCGCACGTGCCACGGTCATTAGTCCATGGCAATATGGGAAAGAGCGAACGCCCGATAGCAAGGAAGTTATAAGCACTCACACACAAACACACACCACCTTAACATTCACGCATTCACGATTTCACGCAATATTTGGTGCGTTTCCAATCCTACTGGCGGGCAAATTTTGTTTGATTACCCGCGCTGTGATCTCCGATGACCTCCATTTCAACCGAAATACACTTTCTAACTTTTTTGAATTAAGTGACATGTTGTTACATTTCAAGTTATTTTCCCTTGTTGTGATTCATCAGTGTCGCTTAAAAAAATCGGGAATTTGGTAACCGTTTGATTTTAGTACGTTCTAACGTTCGTTTGTTTGTTTCTATCCATTTTCCTCCCCAGGCACATTGAGTCGGACCGCCCAAACAAAAGCGCTCGAATTGCTGCAACCCACCGACTTGTAAGCCTAGATGGTGTTGCACACATTCGACAAACAGGTGTCGCCAGGTGTAGGAACCATTCTTCCTCGAAGTTTTCCACGCAATGTCCTCGAAACCCGCGACGCCGCTCGAGCAGCGGCGTGCTTTTCCGGGCGAAAGCGACAGCACACGGATTCCGATGCTTTCGCCAACACCGTTTCGCCGGTCGTATTCCTTGCGGATGCGCACTAGCCAGAGCTTCCATGACTACCAACATTACCGCGAGTGTGAGTGTGGTAGTGGAAATATGCATCATCCAGCGAATCTGTCCGGTCCATCGTCGTCGTCGTCCAACGTAAAAGTGAAAAATTCCCTCGCCAATGGGGGCAAATCGATCAGTCACCACCATCATCAGCTGCGGGCCGACACAGTGGAGCCTTTCTGTGCGGCAGCAGCCCTCGGCAAGCCCGGTGGCAGCAGCAAGGATACATCGCCCTCGGCTGGCTGCAGCGGCAGTACACTGCTACCCAATGGCGTAATCGTACACGGCCATAATGCACACACCGCGACGTCACCGAGCTCCGGGCAGAAATCTTCGTCCTCGCAGTCGACCCGCAAGAATAGCCTGCAGAAAAATGATCGGGGAATGGTAAGTCTACCTATCAATCACCTGTACATAACAATTGTGGACAACTAATTACATAATTTCGACTAAGTGTAACATATGTATCACATAGGATGAACAGTGCTTTCTCAATAGTGACCAGCTGAGTGAAGTGAATTTTCCTCTTGCTTGACCTATATACATACGTACTGCAAGTGACATTAGGATGAACCTCCCACGCGAGAGGATGGCCGATCAAGTGGAATTTAAGTGTATGAAGACAAAAGATCGATGTGAGTGTTTCTGGGAAGTGCACTTATGGAACGGATGACGGATAAACCGTGAAGGACTTTCTCCAAGAACGCAAATATAAATGAATACACTACGATATTCAATGAGCGATGGAAACAAGAATGCAGGAAATCCATGCAAATTCATGAAAAAACACCGCAATAGGTCATGGAAAGTCAACTATGTCAATGCGATTGTACGACTTTTTCACAAGGACCGGTTTTCCAAGAACAGTTTCCTCGAAACCAATGGGACGTTCATGGATGATTCCTAGAAATGCATTGATTATTTAAAAGCGTCGATTTAACGATGTCAATATTTCCTTTATTGGCAAGCTGAATATTTTTTCTATGCATTATCTATGAACATAATTAATAATACCAACCCAGAATGTAGTGCAGGTTTATAGACTCGTACATTTTCAAGCCTTCTTTATTGAACTTGGAAAATGTTCTAAATATTTCACATACTGAAAAATTCATGTTTATAGAGTAAGCATATATTCTTTCAAAGAGATTCTTTAAACACGTTGACCCACTAGTAATCTGAGAAATGGTTTCTTCTTGGAAAAGCCGTACATTTATGCAATCACCCATAATTCCAAACCGGTGAAAACAGAAATGGTCAGAATGGGCAAATAAACTAAACTTACTTGATAATAATCGCTCTTATTCACGTTTTCGACTGTAACGAATTTCCCATACAATTTGATTTTGTTTTACGGAATAGTAAGAATTTATCGACATCTTAATAAGGAAGGTGTTCCAGTTATGGATTTATCTTTTTCTGGGCATTTTACTAGCGAGCGTTTATCCGGTTCTCAGATGCACTCCCATAGTTATTAATTGAGACCCCACTATGCCAACCAATGCATGAATTTTTATATTGTGTGGCAACCCAAGTAACAATATAACAGCCTTTTGCCTTTCAATAAGCAATAAGCGATCTTTTTAGTTTAACTACAGCATTTAAAAGTGCAAAACATTCTGGATTAGTACTTCAGCTTCATACTGGTTTAAAAATCTTTTAAAGCCTGACGAGAAAATCGTAAAGTGAATGGTTTTAAAAATGAATTAAATGCAGCACTCTATCCCTTGAATCGGTTTTTGTTTTATTGATGTTACGAAAAAATACTCTATAAAGGTGTTTTATCATTATAAAAGCAATTATAAAACCGTTCGGTTTCAAACGAGATCAAAAACATGTATTGATGCATTTTTTCGCAGAATTACAAGGAAATGCCAAAAGATAAACGAGTAATAATTCTAGCAATGCTGTCGACTGAAGAGCAAGGGAATCCAACTCCAGAACTTTCTGGGAGGCTCAACAACTCCGACAAAATCGGTCAACAACAACAGAGCAGCCGACTGAGATGAGCAAAGTGAATGCGGCTTACGAAGCACTAGAAGCCGTCAAATTAGACGCTTAAATTGATGGGAATACACAGCATATTTTCAATAGCAGCCTTCTCCAGAAATAACGGTACGATGATGATCCGAATAGCATCAGTGCCAAACTGGGACTGCGGCAAACTGCTGACAGGATTCTTCAGAAGCTGTCTGTCAGCAGGGAATTGGCTTAACTGTTCCAAAAATTCCAAGCAAGCGCACATAAACTTCATCGCATCATCCGGAAGAAGGAAACCTTTTCGGGAACGATTGAGCTTCCACCTGTTCCTAGTTACGTAGATACACTTCCTGATGTAAGTGCTTCCAAAAGATGAATTGCCATTATCAAGGATGCCACGCAACTTGTTGATCCAACACTGGAGTAGAGCATCGTTGCAATCATCGCACAACAAAACTATCGAAAGATAAACAAATTTTGACATTTAACTTTTTCCAGACAACTTTGCCACCATTAAAGCCGCCATAAAACTAAACGGAATAGGATCAATCAAAATGGCTTCAGATAAAAACAATTCAGTCTGTAAATTATCTTCATAAAAACCCCATTAAAATGTTTTGCATTTGTTAGCGACTTCATTAAAGCAAAACAGTTTTTTCACAAATGACTTTTGGAAAATTAATGTGTATGCTATCGCTATATTGTTATTGTTCCATTTGCCTTTTTACAATCTTCATTTTTCAAAGATTTTTTTCCTTTAAAATAACATTGTTCTCATCAATTCACCAATGAGCAGTAATAGAGATTACGAAAATCATCAAATTGTCTCGGCTAGGAGCAATGATTAACGTAACAAATAACTATATTTAGTGTCCTAAATTAAAAATAATTAGTGAAATCAACGTTTTCCGAAGGGGACTTCATTTTTTCGATCTTCTGAAGCACATTTCACATTAGTCTTGTGGTTTTAATCGGTCACCTAAAAATAGACCACAATATGAGTTTCGATTATTTTAGTAATCCTTTCACTTTAACTATGAGGACATTTATGTGAATTTTTGACAGATTAATTTTTGAACATTGAATATGAGCAAGATCGGACGATACTTATGTATCCATGTTTATCTTGATTGATGCTTTCTTTTTAGTGCGCTTAGCAAGCGTCAAAGGCAAATAGCACAAGTATTGATGCCAAATGGCTTTTATTGTACTTATAATAAGGATTTTAAATAGTTCTCAATGTATTCGTCATATAACATTTTTGCAGCCTGTCATTCTTGAAATGTCTCGATAATACACTCTTTAGAACCTTCTTCAGGATGGGCCAACTTGACAGGTTCTAGTCTTATTGAGGTTTTGGTAGATGTAATAAAGGCAAAGCTATCGTGAACAGGGTTTTATGAATGTTGTTTTATAGAAGCCTTGTAGTACTTCATAAAACGTTAAATGTTACTTGGGAAGCACAATGATACACGCTATGTCTGAAGGCACTTTTTTTTGCAACTTTCATGTACCTCAGTTTTTTCTTCACTGGAAGTTAGTATTGATCCTAACAATCAATTTGGTGAAGGTTTTAAAATAGTTCATCTTGGGTTTTTTGAGAAAAAGTGTGGTGAAGTATAATTAGCCGTTTACAAAGGTGGATGCGGACTATTGATCATACAAAACTTTTACGGATCGGAACAAATTCAGCTGAAAATGATTCAAAAAGGGATTGAAGTAGTCAAAATACTAAGATTCAATGATACAGTAAGATTCCCTCTTCGGTACCGTAAAATATCGTAGTTTTGTCATGATCTCATAATGTTTAATTTTAATAATAAATTAATTAAACAATGGTTTAGTCCCTAAATTTACTATTATTCTGCCATTCCATAGCAAAAGGATATAGTGGATTTCAGAATATGGTAAAAAATTGTAGTTTTTTCCTTATCGCATTTTTTTTGTCATTAGGGCGACCATTTCATCGTCCAAAAAATCGTTGTTTTTTTTTCAAAAATGACTTTTTTCAAAATTTTATTACTTTTGAACCACTAGACCGATATCAAAGATCAAAATAAAAATTGAAAGGAATTAAAAAAATAATTGTTAGTAAAAATATAATAATATTTAAAAAAATATTTGTATTGAGAAAGATTTATTTTTTTACTCATGCCCTCGATCACATTTCACAAGGGAAGCGTAGAAGAGAAAGAGGTATCGCAAGAATTTATCTCTATTACAATGTTCCCTGTGGTTCACAGAACATCCTAAAGTTTGTAAAATTTTCCTCACGTTAAAAAAAAACTTTTTACAGATTATCATTGAAATTCATATAATGTTACTATGGTTCACAGAACTCTCTTGAACTTCGTTGAACTTTTATTTAATTTTTTTTATTTACTTTATTAAAGAGACTTTCAGCCTTCGGCTGGTTCATCGCTGATATTCGTTGAACTTATCAGGAGGACATTGAACTCCCCTGAAGGTTACAAAACGTCCCTGAAGTTCGCAGAATTTTCCTCAAGTTTATAGAACTTCTTCTCTAAAGATCGAAGCACATCTTTCTAGTTTGCATCAAGGTTGCTAATACTCATTTCAGCTAAAGCAATTTTTTTTAAATTATGAAATAATTAGATGCCATGATCATATTTTGAATTGGTAGGATACAAGAAGAGGTTGCAAAGAACCTGTTTATTTCACTTCAGGAGAGTCACAATCAGCGATTTTTCACACACTCACTCACTCACTCACTCACTCACTCAGCGATCAGAAAATCGCTGATTGTGACTCATAGAAAGCAAAATTTACAGGTTTGATGTTTCAAACACCTGCTTTGTAACCTCTTCTTGTAAGTTACAAGTAAAACATGCCATCATACCATCTTTTGGTTTTATTATTCTGAAAAACATTATTTTAGCTGAAATGAGTATTTGCAACCTTGGTTTGGATAATTTTCCTGAAGTTTGTAGAGCTTCCCTGAAGTTCAATAAACTTCTCTGAAAGTTGTTGAATTTCTCTGCTTCTTTGGAGGAACTTCTTTAAAGTTTTCAGAACTTTCCTAAAATTCAATACAGTTCCCTATAGTTCGCAAAATTTACTAGAAAATCACTGAACCTTCCTGAAAGTTTCCTTAGACAAAATATGGGAATTGCAATGAAGCTCTAGCAATTCTTTAGTAATTCAATATGGGGGCTACCTCAACTCACTGGGCAAGAGTAGCTAATCTCATGTGAGCTTCATTCCTGTATTCCTGATTTTCGCCATGGTTGTCAGAATTTATTTTCGATCTTGATCGTTGAGTCAAACATCTCTATTTATTTTTAAAAATCGTAGCAAATTTTCCACCCCTCAGGATGTTTTGGTGACAAATGCCATCTTCGCCACCTATTGAGTACGAGACACAAAACTTTTAAATTCTACACGAT